TCTGGTGTCGCACAATAGATGTCGTCCATAATCAAGGCGAAGATGTAAGGGCTAAGAGCCGACCCCTGGTGGAGTCCGATTTTCACCGGGAATGCCTCGGTGTTGCCAACTGTAGTCCTGACGTATGTAGTATATCTACAGTACATATCACGAATCGTCCGGATATAAGCAGTTGGGATTTCTCTAATTTCCAAGGTCTTCCAGATCGTATCGAGGGGAACACTATCATACGCCTTCTCAAGGTCAATGAACGCCATGTGTAGATCTCTATTTTTTTTCCCTATATTTCTCTATAAACTGTCAAAGTAGATTAATCGCCTCTGTACTAGACCTGCCTGGAATAAAGCCAAATTGGTTTACCTAAAGATTAAAAGAATCTTGAAATGATTTCTTGATAAAAAAGAAACAATTCCATATGTCCCACCAAATCTTATTTTTGAGAGAACAGGCAAACAAAAACTATAATTGCAATTTGCAACCCCCTTTATCATATTGACTTTCCAGACTCCCAAGTATTCATGCAAACAACTTCAAAGGGGCCTTTTTGGCCACCTTACTTGAACTTTTAGTTTTTTGTTTCTAAAATATTTATATTTAAACGTTCATACTCGGTGTATAATTGAATATAAATATATAATCTTTTAACTATATAAAAATTTAAAATATATATAATATTCACAACAAATACCATCCAAATCAAAATAAATGATATTTACTTTTCCAAATTTGGATAGAAACGGTCACGTCTCTAATCTCTTACGCATATATTTGTCAAAAAGGTAGAAACTGATAATGGTTATGAATATGGAAATATAGATGCTGGTTTAAGTAAAAGGCTGAGTGGAAAATAAGAAAATACAAGGGCCTAACCCCCCAAAAATATATATTTCTTTGTCATTTTCATTTTCTGTAAAACATTATAGCCGAAAATTATTTTCATTTTCAACTTCTATGAGTATATAAAATGATTTTATAAAATAAATAAATTCTAATTCTAATTCTAATATGCCAACCAACCCCTATTAGCATCATTAATGAATTACAAGACAGTGAAAGGAGTTGCTTGCACAACAATAAACCCCCTGCTGGATTGCTATATCCTCGACTATAAAACCTTGATACCATCTTCAAGCTCTTCCTCTCGGTCGCCTTAGATATTCGATCCGTATGGAAGTTCCTGGTTTCGATGTTCATCGCGAACATCAACCCCATGGAAGCCTGATTCAAAGCTTCTTCGCTTTCTGTCCTTCGCAGAAAACATTGACAACCTCAGCTACAACTCACTTCAACATGGAGTCATGGGATGGAAACTCATCGTGTTCTCTGTTCTCACCCAACACTCAAATCCATCTCTTCTCACCTGACGCGTCGTCTCCTAGCAATGAAGACGATGCCAGAGCGTGTCAGCAGAGCATCGTCTTCGACGAGAAGAGGCTGAGGAGAATGATATCGAACAGGGAATCCGCGAGGAGATCGAGGATGAGAAAGAAGCAGCAAATCGAAGAGCTTCAATCGCAGGTTAATCAACTTCAAACGGTTAACCGTCAGCTTTCACAGAAGGTGATCAATCTGTTGGAGAACAACCATGAGATCCTCCAAGAGAATGCTCAGCTCAAAGAGAGAGTTTCTACCCTTCACATGGTGCTTTCTGATGTGTTTGCACCTATCAGGAATTGCAACGATTCCTCCATGAAACCTAAATCAGCTTCTTAGAGATGCTAATACAAGTATAATCTAATTCAGGTTACACATATACATATGCATACACATATACATAATTACACATACAAAGCAAGTTTTAAGGTTAAAATGGACGATAAACTGGTTTTGCAGCTGTCCTATCACCTATGGTTTATGGTTTGCTTCTGTTAATATAACTTAATGTATAGAAATCATTACATGTCTCATTGGATTACTGGTACAAGATATATATGTATATATAGTTTGATACATGTAATAAAGTCTTGAGACAGCATATTATTGTCAAGGTTTACAGAGTTAATCAAGATTTTACTCCATTAAAGAAGTTTGAATGTTTAACTCTGATGGCTTCAGGATTTCTGGTTCTCACATGCCTCTTGTTTTTTTCTTTCTTTTCTTTAAAAGATTTCCTAGAGTATGTACTTTTACTATCACACTATTTTATAATAATTATTTATGAACTTTTCTTTATTTATTATATGATATCTTAATCAATTGTGCTTTACATCTTTTATTCACATTAATATCTTTATTAAGCATAAATTAAGGTCAATTCTCAACATCTATTCATCTAATATAGCCTTAGTCGTTTTCGTTTATCTCAAATCTTAAAAAATAACTTAAAGGTTAATTTATTTCGATTCATATATCATTTAAGTCTAAATAGTCTAATCTCATAGATAGAACTGTAATATTCAAGTAGAATTGCTTATTTTTACTATACATGTTCGAACTTTGCATCATCATCTTTTATCCGAATGATCATCAGATCTATTGCATTAAGCTATTTTCTTTTTTCCTATTTTTTATTTTTAATCAAAACGATGATAAAATCTACCGCATTAAATCAAATTTTCTCTTTTTTCCATTTTTATTTATTTTTAAATGGGTAACATACATCATTTGTATATGATAACATATTGTCTCAAAATGGATTCTCAAGCCAAACTTTTCTAGTGCAGTGATGTCCATCCATTCCAATACTACTTCGTTATATTGTTAAAAGAAAATCTTTACATACACAACAAATATATATTTTCTTAATTTTTTATATGTCATATTATTTTCAAAAGATGTATTCTCTGTGCATCTTAAAATTATAGGTAACTAGGATGCATGAAATCCCTGTTTCGCTAGGGTTTCTCATAATGTAATCTAAATTTTATAATTAATTATTTAAAAGATTCTCTTTTAATATGTAGTAATATTAATATATTTTATTTCATTGATTATGGAATTTTATCAAAAGCTTAATATCAATACATTCTATTTTCTTTCATTAACTATTTTCATGATAATTGTTCGATTAAGAAGTTATTTGTGGTGTAGGTAGGGATGGGCATAGTACCCGAATCCGATGGGTTCCGACCGGATCTGGTCAGACTTTTTTAAAAAAACTTCGGGTTCAATTCGGGTTTTTTAAAGTTGATGTTCAGGTCGGGTCGGATTCGGGTTTATGGTGAAAAATACCCGATCCGACCCAAAAAATATAATTTTATCTTACTTATTTAGGAATAATTACAATAATACCCCTATATATATACTATTTTTTTCAATTAAATCATTGTTTTTATTGAATAAAAATAATATTTTTATTATTTCGGGTTGGATCGGATCGGGTTCAGATTTTTTCTCAAAAAACTAGGTTGAGTTCGGATCGGGTGGAGGGTATATATTTTTCGGGTCGGGTCGAATATGACAAAAGATGTACCATTTTTGAGTTGAGTTGACCAAAACCCGACCTATACCCATCCTAGGTATAGGTCAAATAAGGATACTTATTTCAGTTCAGCTATGAGTAAATATATAAAGTATTGTTTAAAAAAGAAAAAAGAAACATTTTTTTCGAGCAAAGCAAATTTGGGTCGAGCAAATGTGTGATTAACCTAAAAGAACAAATTTAAACTTAAATAAAACAATTAAACAAAAACATTTTTTTTATTTTAATTAATTAAAAAATATAAGGATTAACATGAGAAATTAATTGTTTGCATAAGTGAAAAAATTAACATATAAATGTTTTAAAATATACATAAAATAAATTAACATATAACTTGGGCATCTTTGGCATGTAGTATATTGCAGCCGAGTCTAATAATCGGGTTTCAAACAAAATTAATGATGACACCGATTGATTTTATTCTAAAAATAGTTGGTTAAATGGATTCCATCCTTAATACGAAGAGAGTGTCAAAATCCATTTTCTTTGTCTTTATTAGTTCTTTATTATGTCCTTCGAGTATTTGATAGCCAATTCGAAGTGATGAAGTGTAGCGAAAGATTTATATAATCAATAATATATTTATTAATAAAGTTAAAATATAATAACAATTAAACTAATTAAAAATATGGTAAACTACACTAATGTTTGAGATAATTTTTATTTTCCCCACTGATGTTTTAAAAGTTACAAATCAGTTATTAACGTTATCGATTGATTACAAACTGATCACTCAACGTTAACAACATTGTCAAACGTGACGGAAAACACTTGGCTCGTTAAATGCTTACATGGATGGATTTAACCGAATTGACCGACAAGCTCAAGACATACATCTTCTCCTTTAAATAAAAACTCAATCCTTAAACTTAAATTAAGACCTTAATTGTTCTTTTCAGGGTATTAAATTACAGTTCGAAAATGTGATAGCGGCCATGATATTGCGGTAGCGCTTCCGTCCGAAACCGATTTTCATGATTTTTTAGGTGGGTCACTGATTCACAACAATCTCAGAATTTCACGCCCGCAATTTAACGGGAAACGGTCGATTGCGCCAATAACAGGACGCAACAACCGTTATTTCAACCGTGATTTCAATTTACAACCGCAATTTTTTTTTCAAAGAATGAAAGGTCGGGAGAGGAGGAAGGGGAGGTGTGCTTTATTTATTTATTTTAATAATTTTAAAATATAATTTTAAAGGATATATTAGTTTGAGATTCCTCCCATTTTTAGAATTTATAATTTAATCTCTATTTTAAAATGTAAACTTTAATTTTTATTTAATTTAATCTTAATTTCAGTAATCTAAATTTTTATAATTTAAATTTTACAATTTTATTTTAATTATATTTAATTTAGTTATTTTAAGATAATATGTAATATTTAAAAATTAACGATTGCGATACCTACAATGACATCTATTATGTCTGCAACCGTGATAAACACGACACGACCGAAAACATGACGGCAATCGTTATTTAAAACTCTGGTTATTTTCTTTCATTCATCTCTCTTCTTCAAACCAGAACCGTGGATTCCAAGCTCCACCCACCGGTATCATCCTTTGCAGCGTCCCAAAAGCCAGTGAAAATGAAGCACTGAAGTGGGTTTCGGGAGGCCAAAAGGGAGCAAGAATTTGAGGAAGAGGAGGGTTATCAGGGAAAGAGGCGTGGATATGGAGGGTAAGAATGGTTGCAGAAGGAAAGGTGGGGATTTCATGGTGGGTTATAGCAATTACAGTGGAAGTTTCAGCGGGGAGAGTAAAGGTGGTAACGGCGCCGGCGTGGTTGTGATCATAAGGCCAAAAGGCGGCAAGAGGTCACTGTGTATGGATTTGGAGGAAGTGAAAGCTTGTAGGGACCTGGGTTTCGAATTAGAACATGAACTCATGTTGGAGATGCCCAGTGCCACTGCAGGCCTTGTTTCATTCTCCTGTTCCACTTTCGACACCGCCAGTAGCGGCGGAGATTCTCCCATTGCCAACTGGCGTATCTCTAGCCCTGGTTAGTTCAAAATCTAATTTTTTTTTCATTGCTTTTGGTGATTGTTTTTTATTAACATAAAGCATCAACATTTTCAGTAGATCTGATGGGAATTTTTACTCTGTAATTATAGGTGATGATCCAATGGATGTTAAGGCTCGGCTGAAGGTGTGGGCACAAGCAGTGGCGCTTGCATCCTCATCAGGCATTGCAGTTGACATTCGAGCTACTCTCAACTATCATCAGCTACTATTTTTGTTTCCCTGTTTTAGCTTTTTCTTTAAAAAAATGAAGTTTTTCCAAAAGAGATGGTTTGTTGTTGTTGTTTGTGGGATATGGCAGTGGATGTTTATATGGGTATGGCATGGCACTGAAGGCCATGTTGCCTTCATTAGACAAAGGCATATCTGGTTTATGGTTCATGAGAACCAGTCCTCCCTCACTACCTGCAAAAGAAGTACGCTCAGCTCAGTTCAGCACCAATCTGAAATGTCAAAAAGACAGCAATCTAGTCGAAATTACCAGTGTATGAACCAGGATCTTCCTTCTCCTCCGAGACACGAATGGAGATGTCAACAAATCCTTGAGGTTTGTGGAATTTGGTTTGCGTAACTGGTAGCTCCTACTTCTTAAGTTAAAGAGGAGGCTGAATTGTTGTTATATTTGGCCAGAAATTCTTTCGAGGCAACAGTTGCAGTCCCTAGAAGCCTTTCCCTCCTTAAAATGGGCTCCCTACTGTAGACTTCAACATGGACCACCATCTCCTCAACATTGCACTCATCAACCAAAGTTGCAAACTTGGTTTTCATATCAGATTTGAGCTGCCGGAAGCATTGATCTTGGTGCAATATTTGTCATTGGAATCGATCCATCCCACTGTAAACCACTGCAGCTTCCAAAAAGAGAACAAACGCCGGAGACCTCGAGCAGAAATTATGTTACAGAATACGACTATTGGATAGAGTAAAATTGCAACTGATAATTTGAGAAAATAAAAATAAAGATAAAGAAGACACAAAATTTACGTGGAAAACCCTAAATAATATAGGGTAAAAATCACGGGCAACGGTAGAATTTTACTATGAGAAAATAGGAATTACAACTTCTCTCGATCTAACAATGAGAAAACAATATTAATTCTCTCTTGATAGAAAGGAGAAAACAACTCTCAAGAAATTCGCTAAATTCTCTAGTATTAGGAGAAAGCTATAATGATTTTGGATGGTTTTGAAGCTAAATGGGTTAAGGTATTTATAATTGAAACTTAAGGACTAATCTCTTTATGATTGTTTCATAAGAAATGAAACAAAAGATACGGTAGAGCTAGGGCAGTTATTGTATGAGGTCTATCCAATGCTAAATGCAGAGGTACATAGTAGATTGATATGAACATCATGAACTGTCCTGCAATAAAAACAGTTGTTGCTGATACCTTGTTATGGGTTCCTTCTTCCATAACTCGAGCTCGTAGAAGGAAGATATAAGAGGGACCTATGGATAATGTAGTTAGAAATCCATAATAGAGTCCGACCATAACGACCGAATTGATTATCTTCATGCATAAGGAATTTAGATTCCCTGGTATAAAAGATTTTAAAATAATCATTAACCTCCCTTTTTTTTCTAGAAATGGTAGATCTATTCACTCTATCAATAACCGAGTCGGATCTGGTGTATCATAAGGGATTTGCCTTTTCTATTGATTCCTGCGGATTGGATCAAAAACAATTCTTGAATGAGGTATTCAACTCCTGGGATGAATCGAAAAAGAAATCTTTATCGGTTCTACCTTCTATTTTTTATGAAGAAAATGAATCTTGTTATCGAATGATCAGAAAAAAATGGGTTCGGATCTCCTGCGGGAATGATTTGGAAGATCCAAAACCAAAAATAGTGGTATTTGCTAGAAACAACATAATGGAGGCAGTCAATCAAAAAATCTTTGTCGTATGTGGGCTTTTCCCAATATTTTATTGTTAAGTGTAGTTATGATTTTTTTTCGGTCGATCTGTCTATTCAGCAAATAAATGAAAGTTCTATCTATCAAATGTATGGTCTTGGACCATCAATAATGTTTTTTCTTTCGAGTTTGGCTACTTTATTGATTCACTTACCTCTATTATGTTAATATTAATCACTATTGTTGGAATTTTTGTTCTTATTTATGGTGATAATTATATGTCTCATGATCAAGCATATTTGAGATTTTTTGCTTATATGAGTTTGTTCAATACTTCAATGTTGGGATTAGTTACTAGTTCGAATTTGATACAAATTTATATTTTTTTGGGAATTAGTTGGAATGTGTTCTTATCTATTAATAGGGTTTTGGTTCACATGACCCGCTGCGACAAACGCTTGTCAAAAAGCATTTGTAACTAATCGGATAGGCGATTTTGGTTTATTATTAGGAATTTTAGGTTTTAGGGTATTTATAGTTGAAGCTTAAAGACTAATTTTGTAAATACCCTAAAGTTTAAGGACTAAATATACAATTATCCTCTTGCCATTTTTTCAACAATTACAACTGCTTTTTTGACTCCAACATTCGGTGCATTAATACACCGAATTTATACCACCAAATGCTGACTTTTGACATTCTCCCGCTTGAAGATTTGATTGAACAATCATATATTCACACCATTCTTTCTACCTTGTACCTTCATGTTGCTTAAGTTTCTGATAGGCCACAAGAGGATCGACACCAAGTAAATTTATCAACATTGACCGCCTTCGTCATGAAATCTGCTATGTTGTCTTTGATATGGATCTTCTGCATATCTACCGTCCCTTCTTCCACCTTTTCACGAATGAAATGGTATTGAACCCGTATGTGCTTTGTCCTTGAATGAAATGATGGATTCCTTACTAGATGCAAGGCACTTTGACTTTCACAAAACAAAGAGACATACTTTTGATTGAGCCTAAGCTCCTCCAATAGCATCTTCAACCAAATTGCTTCTTTACTGGTTTGTGTAGCTGCTACATATTCTGCATCTGTTGTGGATTTAGCCACAACTGACTGTAATTTTGAAACCCAACTTACAGCTCCACCAACAACTTTGAACACATATCATGTTGTAGATTTGCTTTTATACAAATCTCATGCATAGTCAGAATCGACATACCCATTGATAAGTAAGTTTGATCCTCAATAATATAATGCAATATTTGAGGTCTCTTTGATGTATCTCAGGATCCTCTTTAATGTATTCAAATGTTCTTTGCCTGGATTCGTCATGTACCGACTAACCACTCCCACTGCTTGTGCAATGTCTGGTCTTGTACATATCATAACGAACATTAAACTTCCCACTGCTGATGCATACGGTACTCGAGACATCTCCATCTCTATTCTTCACTGCTAGGACTCATACTGGAGGATAATTTGAAATTAATAGGAAGAGGGGTAGAAATTAATTTATAATATTTCATGTTGAATCGTGACAAGATCTTCTTCAAGTAATTCTTTTGTGAAAGCCAAATCTTCCTATTATTTCTATCTCGGTGTATTTGCATCTCTAGAATCTTGTTTGTTGATCTCAAGTCCTTCATTTAAAATTCCCTAGCCAGTTGTGCCTTCAATTCTTCAATATGATATTTTTTGGGTCCTGCAACCAACATGTCATCCACATACAACAGCAATATAACAAAATCGTTATCACCAAACCTCTTGAAATAAGCACAAGGGTTTACATTAAGTCTGTTGTATCCAAGGCACATAATGAAGGAATCAAATCTCTTATACCAACACCTCGGTGCCTGCTTTAGACCGTACAGAGATTTGTTCAACCTGCAAACCAAGTTCTTTTTTTCTTTTTCTTCAAAACCTTCAGGCTAGAGCATGTAAATCTCTTCGTCAAGATTTCCATGAAGAAAAGTTGTTTTAACATCTAGTTTCTCTAGATGTAAGTTTAATGTAGCACACATTGCCAAGACTACTCGAACTGTTGTTAGTCGAACCATAGGAGAAAAGATTTCATTGAAATCAATACCTTCTTTTTAAGCACATTCTTTGACCGCCAGTCTTGCATGACACCTCTTCACTTGATCCTCGCCATTTTGCTTGATTTTGAAGACTCATTTGTTACCAATTGGCTTCCTTCCTTGTGGTAGTGACACAAGGTCGAATGTATTATTTTTATGAAGGACTTCAATTTCTTCTTGCATCACCATCATCCATAGTGAATCATCTAAGCTGTTTATTGCCTCCTGGTATGTTGATGGCTCACCGTCCTCTATTAAAAGGCATTATGCAATATTTCTTTCTATAACATAATCTGAGTACCAATTGGGATATCTTATCATATGATCTGATTGACGAGTTGTTAGAGCTTCAGAACTCTCTGGTTCTTGTTCATCATGTGCTGGTTCTGCTTCAAAAGAATCTCCTTATTCAGACTCATTTTCCACATGTATCTGTGTAGTCTCTGACTTTTCAGCGCTATCATCGTCTTTTTTTCTTTAAAGTTTATCTTCTATAACGATAACATCCCTGCTGATGATCACTTTGCGGGCAGTGAGATCCCACAAGCGATACCCCTTTACTCCATCAGCATACCCCAAGAATTTGCATTATCCAGCTTTGAAATTTTTTGGGAGTTGTACATCACGTACACAATACTTCCAAATACATGGAGGTTTGAATAATCAGCTGGTTTACCAGTCCATATCTCCATTGGTGTCTTCAGCTTTATTGCAGTTGATGGAGCTTGATTCACCAAATAACACGTGGTATTGACTACTTCTGTCCAAAATGATTTTTCTAGGCCTGCACCACTCAACATTCTTCTTGTTCTTTCTAACAAGGTTCTGTTCATCTGCTCTGCCACTCCATTTTATTGAGGAGTGTTCGCCACTGTGAATTGTCTTTTGATGCCTTCTTTACTGTAAAAGTCATCAAATTCTTCACTTGTGTATTCTCATCCATTATCTGTTTTGAAACACTTGATCTTATTTTCAAAATCAAGTTCCACCCGCACTTTGAATTTTTTGAAAGTGGAAAACACATCTGACTTCTTCTTAATAGGGTACACCCAACATCTCCTGGAGTAGTAATCAATAAATGAGACAAAGTATTTTGCTCCACCTAGGGATGTAACTGGTGCTTGTCATACGTCAGAATGAACCAATTCTAGAACATGTTTGCCTCTAGAACATGTTTGCCTCTAGAATTTGACGTGTTGATTTCAACCGGTGTGATTACTTGTTATGCAATGCTCACACAAAGTAAGTGATATATTTGTTAAGCGTGGAAGTAGATTTTGCTCCACAAGGACTTTCATTCCTTGTTCTGACATGTGTCTAAGTTTCTGATGTCATAGCATTGCAGAATCTAAACTACATGAGGCAACAGAGGCTTCTGCTTCTAGCAAAGTCTCTCCCTTCAGCATGTACAAGTTTGTTGCTATCTTTTTGCCTTTCATCACCACAAGCGCTCCGCGGAACACCTTCATGATTCATTTCCGTGTTTCAATCTTGCTTACATTATTATCCAAAAATCCGTAGGATAATAAATTTTTCTTCAGGCCTTTCACGTGTCGCACATCTCGAACAACTTTAATTGTTCCATCATACATTTTCAATTTGATGGTTCCCACACCAACCATCTC